ACACGTTACATTTCTGGGGAAAAAATTTCGCTTAGGTTTCTTCAATTCGAGCAAAATTCTGTACGAAATCGGTAAGGGATATTTTAAGAATATTTGCAATATAATAAGAAAACTGCGAATACCTATTTTATTATCTAAATTATATCGTTATTAACGCTTCGTGCCTATTAATTTTAATAGGAATGAAAATGGTCCACGGTAAAAGAACATCGTAGCGAATTTTCAAGGTCGATTTTCTCGAGGAATAATTCTCATTGTTAGACGAACAAACGTTCTACATCTCTCGTTTATTTTTACGTACAGTATCAGCTCGTTTCCGCTTGCACCATTAATTCGGCGACGCTCTGCGTGTTGCACGATATGTAACGCGTACGTTCGTATTAAAGAGTGCAATTCCAAATTAACCGCGATAAAAGAGTACAGTATGTTACACGGCACTTTTCCCAATATACGAAATTTCAGCAACGAATAAATTTGTTTCGGTAGAGCAAGTTCGCAGTTATCACGTGTTATCATTCTACGATCACCTAAAACTATTAATGTCAAACTGACACGCCACTATAAAACACGTTATCGTTCTTATCATTTCGCGACTGTGTCGTAACACCGTTAAATGCGATTTGATACGGCGGTATCGACCTTTCACATTAGAAGCATCGTTCAGATTGAAACAGCTGATGCGTCATTTTCATAAGTGGTCAGATGAAAACGAAGCCAACTGAAAAGGGTATTAACCCTCGGACTGCGGACGCTCGAGCAGCGACGCTAGAACGCATACGTTTTCCAACGGAATTTGCTGCCGTTGTTATTTCGAAATGCCGTGGTAAATATTATATAACAAAGGAAGGGAAGAAGTACGTGTTAGAGCGATAAGAAGAAGATTGCAGCGGTGGATCTAAACGGCCAGACATTGGTTGAGCGAGGGTTGAAAACGTTGGCAGCCATTGCCTGGTATTGGAACATTAGCCCGAAAAAGGGGCATTAACCGAATCGATATTTCTGCCAGGAAACTACTATGCTCCAGTTGACTCTTGAAGATTAATATCAACATTGTTCTCTTTCCGGAGATGTTTCAATTTTTCAATGTAATTTAACACGTTAAGCGCAATGTCAGTCACCGGCGACTGACACTATACTTTCCGTTCAGGCAGCGTCAGTCACTTCTATCAATAAATTTTAAATAATTTGGAGATCATAAAAGAATGTACCTAAGTATTACTTGTTACCAAACAAAATTTCAACGAGTATTATTAAAACACATGCAGTCTTATCGCAACCTTACACAGATCTCCGGCCGCCAGGATATCGGTGAAATCGGATATCGCGGGCTTGGCGCTTAACGTGTTAACTACCGTTACTCGTAGTTCTGATATTACTCGATCGGTGTTCGTGTCCCTTTTCAAGAAAGGGAAACTATGGGGAATAAATTCGGGTTACTGGCATTTGCTACTCAAAGAATGGAAGTCACGATTGTAGGGTGGAACGGATAGGTTCTCCTTTAGGTGTCGCTAGGCAACCTTCATACGTGTTCCAACGACGAAAACGTATCTACTGTACTTTACGAATGTTTAGACTGTTTACTCGATAATAAGATATAAGATTTCTTAATACGGTTACACCATGGAGAAAGTGAATGGAAATAAATTGATTTAAACGTTACAGAATATCTACTTCTACTAGAATTTTCTAGCGCAGAAGGATCACGCGGTTAGAATTATTGTAGATCAATAAACAGCTCCCATATATATTAAGAATTTTTTACCTACCAAGTAACGCAATTACGCGCGATACAACTTTATGCAAAATTATCCAAACCCTAGAGATTGTACGTAATTAAATATTAAAAATACTCTGCGATATTGTTTCATTGTGTAACGTCGATCTGCCATGGAAATTTGAATATGACGAAAGTATAATACGTGATATCATATCATTAACTATCGTTTATTATAGAAGAATCACGGTAAACAGTAACAGTACGAAATGCTGGGAGACGTTTATAAAAAGTTTTGTTAAAAACACTGAAAGTTTGTCTCTGTTTGCTGAACATACTGACACAGTTTAAATGTTTTCAAGCTATCTGTGTATATGTGTAACTTACAAAGGATCAGAGATAACATGCAAAGCAACGAAGAGAGAAAGACTGTGAAAAACGATGCGTCTTGTTTGATTGGCGTATGCACACGCGACAGATGCACGTGCTTTTGTCGCCGCATTAATACATCAATTAATGGGCTTGTACGTATTTATCGCACGAATTGCAGTTGCATCGGAGATAGAGCTGCGATGGAACGCGGCTGTTTAATCAATGCGATTAAACATTTATAATTGCAATAATATTCTATTGTTAACTAAGCTGTATAAAATTTTGCTCCAATTTATTGTCCACTTGATTCAGAATAGGTAATATGTGAAATACATATGACAACAATCTGCTGTACAATACTCGGAGGATATTTCAATTTAAAAAGGAAAATTGTTCTTAACAATTAAAATCAATTTTGGAGTAAATAACCGAGACAATATACTATGCATATTTTACGACAGTATTATACTTATTTTCTGTGTTCGACTTATTCAAAGAGAAGTGCCAAGTCAATGGTTCTAACAAACGTACGTACTTGAAAGCGAACTAAATATTGTGTAAAACATTTAAATTATAAAAATCGCAAATCGTCGAGCGTGTATTAATAATTTATTTATCATCGGTTACACACCATGGTGTCTACGATCCAAAAAACATTTCCACGAATGAAACAAACATTAATCTGATCGATATTAGTGATTCTCAAAAATAACCGTAATAAAACATGCAGCATGGTAAAATGATCGTTTTACAGCAAGTAAAATTCCCAGTTTTATTCGACATTTTACAACACTAATTAATCGGAAATTATTCTTGCAAAGACTATGTCAACAGAAACGCAACAACGTGATTTCTAACGAATTAGTAATGCCTACTTCAAGTTTTTCTTCTAAACGACATTATTACGTAGAAAAATTCTTTTAACTCATTTGCATACGTGTATGCATGTAGATATTGGCGTGAGAATTATTCAGCTAAATATAGAAGAAAGGAAAATGAGAATGCTAACAGTGCGAGAGCGATGCGGAGTGATTGATGGATAGATAGAGGGGGAGTAGGAGTGGAAAGGAAGAGAAGGAGAATGAATTGCATGTAATAATTATATAAATGAGAATTACTTATATACACGAATTATATAAATAAACGATTAATGCGAATTCATTTGTACACTTTGATTACCATAATTTAACAGTGATCTTTTATTACCTACAATAATTTAACGACTGTAGATAATAATGTTTCCATCATCACTTTATGGATTGCAATTATAAAGTTTCTACATATTATTCGACATTACACATTATTACGTAGGAATATTATTAAACGAGTGATATCCTTACGCTTTCTCATAATGACTGAAAAGTGAAGAAGAACATACGAGGGATATCGAAAGATCTGGTACAGATATGGTATTAAAAATTTGCTTTCTGTGCACAATCACGTTTCTATGTAAATATGAGTTTTTGGTTTAAAAAATATTCCTCCCTCGATGCCAATTACAACGACAGAAGAAGACACTATTTTTAAATCGAGTGGTAGTTTAATTAGTTTTATTTATCTTGTAAGAAATTTGTAGATTTATAATAGTGATATGCAATAGATAGAAGGAGAACAAAAGTTCATTTGGTCTCTTATATAACCTTGTAGCAATTTTAGTGCAACAATAATTAGAGAAAAATATGTTATGGTGACAGGAAAATTTCTTAACTTCCATTACGTATTTCTATTGTTCTTAACGTAGTGAAGAATTCTCTAAAGTACAGCTTGAAATATGTATATATTGAAGTACAGAAAGATGAAATAATTTTCCAGCAGAGTCCAATAAATATCAATCAGCAACATGTTATGGCGCATGTCCATACAGATATGTAAATTGCAAAATCCTAACAGTCTCGCGGGTAACGAAAACAGAATGAATCTGCACTTGGAGAAAAAGAAACTATGTCGCGCCTGTCTCAGAACAGGTTATATAAATATTACATGAATACAATAAATGGATTCACGTAATAAGAGATTATCTTACCAAATTTATTCGACCATAAATTTCACTTAAAGTGATTTATAAATTTCAAGGATCTTTCGAAATTGTTGCAAGGACAATCTGTTTTAGGAGTAAGAAATAAAGAAAGGAATCGCAGCTGTGTTCAAGTATTCATAATCGAAGGTCATGATCTTCGACCTTAAATCAAGATTTTGTCAATCAACAACTATAGCAATCCGTGGGATAGTTACATAAACATCCTAAACGTCATTCGGTGCAGACCTCTAGTTTTGGAGCTCTAAGTGCAATTTAACGAACATGACATTACGAGAGAAACTAGCAAAATACACTTTCCAATAACTGTGTGGTAATGAAGGAAACTGCATCGAACATCAAATATGTATTAGATAGATAGTTGTTGAGAAAAAAGATATAATGTCGATTTGAAAATTTGCTAGAACCTATCTACAGTTATATTTGCACGGAAGGACAAACGCGTTGCAATTACTGTTGCGCTAGTTCGAATTCAATTGAACGGAAAGTGTGAAACGCGTCGGTAACAATGCCGAAAAATTTGGTAAATGCACAACCAATCGGCGCGTTACCATGACGGGCGTCAAATTAAGAGCAGTAAGTCAGACTAAGATAACTAGTGGGTCAGTTTTGTTGCTGGCGTACACCGGGATCGGAGCCCGGTCGCGGGTGTAAGAAATCCATTTTGATCACAGCACGGGGGATTTTAGGTTTTTGGGCCAATTTCGCCTGTCACTCCGTGCGGCGACCGTGAATTATCAATAATTCATTGCCGCGGTGGAAAATTGCGCACGGAAAGACGCTCATCACGGTTTAACGCGACGTAATCGAATACGCGATGTGACACGGTGAAATCACACGAAAATACGGGTAATTTCAGTCAGCAATTCGAGTACTTACGGTGTCGTACGCCGGGGACAAGGTAGGCCAGACCCCGTCCGGCTGAAGTCTAAGCCGCAGTGAAATCTTCGGGCACGTCGGACTACTGTCGCTGGCACACGCGTTCGACCTCTACGGAAATAGAGACAGGCGCGATTGGTGTACCAACCTGCGCCTGCTCGAACCGCGATACGCATTTCTTCGGACGATCAACGCTATTGCCATCTACCGACTACATAGTGCGGAACCTTTTATCGGAAGCTGGACAGTTGGTATTCTGTACCTTATCTGTATTGTTACTGTGATTTGTGGTCCTCAGATATGCTGTTGAATGTTTAGTTTAGCGGAAAGTAAAAGTGTGACATGAATGATGGATTATTATTGGAGTGGTATACAATTAGGGGAGGGGAAATACCGCTTCCATATGGAGTAACGTGGGCTGAAAGGTTGCTTCACTAAGGACACATTGTTGGGAGTG